TAACACATCATATCTTGTTTGTTAATTCTGTACAAAAACTGACATTTAAAAACAAAAATATTTGAATGAACCAGCAAAAATATATATATAGCACTCTGAATGGCAGCATGTTCATAATGAGTACATTTAGTTCATATACAAATACAAATGCAATTTAGCTTCTAATACTCATGTACTTTTGCTTAAGTGAGATTTTGAATGCAGGGTTTTTACTTATAATGGAGCATTTATTTCACGGTGGCATTGTTACTTGATCCTCAGTAAAGCACCTGAATACTTTTGCTGGCTGGTTGAGAAAACAATCTCACCACAAGGTCCATTTTAGTAACAGTTTAGGGGCTTTCAGTCATATCACATGATCTTCATCAGCAAACAGAGTTTCCCATGTCATGAAACTGTAGATTTCCATCTCAATCTGCTAATGATCATATGATATGATTTAAAGTACCAGAACAGCTACTAAATGAACCCAATGAACCTTGTAGTGAGACGTTTTTCTTAACTTTTTTATTTTCCAAAGTTGGAAATTAACTTGGAACTTCAAGCCTTAAGCCAACATGAACATGATGTCCTTAAAATGCTCCAAATAAATGCTCATTTAAACATCACCTGGGTAAACCATCTGCTTATGAATAGTATGTGATTGAAAGCTTAAGATCAGCTACTAAATGGACCTTGTGAATAGATTGTTTTCTCAAACTCTGTTTCCAAGGCCAAGAATGAACTTCAACTGCAGTTTACAAATGACTTGTTCACTATTCACTAGTCACAGATAAAAAATGCTGGCACGTTTTCTCCTGAACACCTGCGCATTCCCATAAAGGTACACTCTGAAAGCACAAAGGAGTTGGCCCCTGTTCTTCACTAACAGTATGTTTAACCTGAAGTCTAAGGTCGTGGCAAACAATGTTTTACAAGTTGCTCTACTTTTGCTTGTTTTAGGTAATTGTTCACTGCAGTGGCACAGCGATCTTCTGTACTGCTTCTTTTTTCCAGTGGGTGAGGTGAGAATGTCTGTTTCCCCCCCTCTTCTCCTCCACCACTGAATAACTTCTTATGCAAACAATACCCATGGTTTCTATGGCGATGTGGGACAAGAGGCCTTCAAGCTCTGCGCCAGGCCTGGTTTGTTGATCCTGAGGAAGCTGGGAAGAACTTGATGTGTTGCTGTGAGGATTACATTTTCATTTTGTGTGTTTTCATGACCTTTAGGAGTGGAAATGTAACTACTGAAGCCCTGAAATCCCAATGGAAATCCTGATGGAAACTTAAAAATAACTTTGAGGTATATTCAATAGAGCAAAGTTTCATTATGACATCCTACAAATTATAGTTTTTAAAATGTGTACATAAGCATATTTGTATTAGTTTGTAAGTTAACTTTAAATACCTAGTAACCTAGTTGTATGCAGTGTTACAGAGATTTTGGCCAAGTAGTAGTAATAGTTGGGCAAAAAAATATTCCTAAAATAAAATAAACTCACTCTTGCAGTGTTCTCCCGCAATGTGCCCATGTACTGTGTGAAGTGTGTAGGCTTACATACCAAGCAAACGATAGAATTTGATTTTACTGATTAGTTTCTTTTCGAGCTATCTTTGAATCGCTGGGTGGAATGAACCTGCTCATACTCATAAGCTACTATAGCACACACTGCTTTAGGAGCACTGCAGTAGTGAGTGAGTTTATTCAGCGATAACAATCAGTTTGGGAACACATTTACAATTCACCGGCTAGAGGAGGGATTCCTCCTCTGTTGCTGCTCCTGAGGTTTCTGCCTTTTTTCCACTAAAGGAATAGCTCAATATTTTACAGCCTTATGAAGAGGTAGCAGTGACTTCCTGCAGTCACCATGAGTTTGCAAGACAACCAGCGGGGAGTACACACTGCACCTGGCTGAGAAATTGTCTTGCAAATAACCTTACACAAAACCACAACTTGTTGTTTTTACACTTCAGTCTTTGCATGGATATACAAATGAGATGTATTAATTAGTGAGCTTTGGAGGTGATGAGTTTTCTTATCTAGCAAGACAAAGAATATACCTTTACAGTTTATGGGGGAGTTTTTCTTAACCAAATCAAGAACCCAAGAGTAGAGGGTGTCATATGCTGCATAGATTGTAAAGCCCCTCCATTTCTGCCTACATTCCAGATAGACAGGAAATGTGGGGGGAAGAGAGAGAGAGAGAGAGAGAGAGGTGTGATATGCAAAAAGCCCCCCAGGTGGAATTGAACCATTACATGTGGTAATGTGGCCGCCCCCAAAGCCCTTCTAGGCAAATTTCTTATGTGTGATTTTGCGCTGTGTGAATACAATTTACTTAACCATCTACATGTCTAATTTTGCAGTGGAACTTGATGCTGTTAATGTTTTGGACACAGTTACTTTGGCTTCATCATTCCCCTGCAGTGCCTTTCATCAACATGGTATTTTTGTACCCAAATGTCAGATCACTGTACCTTAACCAAATCCCCTTTCTGAGTGACTTTCACTTCTCTTGTACATCAGTTAAGAGCCATCTGGAACCTTAACAAGCTACACATAAGAAATCAGTACTATGCCATGTAAGTTATGGGCTGAATGAATAGAGTGAATAGCACAAGGTGCAACTTTTCAAAGAACCGAGTTCAAGTTCAGTGTAGATGCACTGAAAACACTGTTACACACTGGATGTGTTGGAAAACTACTGGATGAGTGATGTACTTTGTCGTTTGGCACAGATATACTACTTTAAACCAGACACTCTGTTACAATGTTGTTCTGCATGAAATGAAACAGATAAGCAGGAATTAAAGTACACATCCTTGTTGCAACAATAAGCTGTACTATGCATGCTTACTGCTTACGTACCCAGGGAAAATGTGCTGAACTGGAAATGTGATTGTAGTATCACTCAACTTTGTAATAATGCAACTCACTTGATGTGTTTTGAGACTTGAAAAATACCTATGCACAATATTTACCTAAACAGCTGACAGAACTACTTACACACAGACACATAAGTTCAGGCTATTAGTTAGAGCTGTGTATTACTATGTACTGTATAGTTAAACTTAGCTTAGTTTATTACAAATAATCTATTACATTCGGTTGACACACAGATTCCTGTTCCTAAAAACTGCCAAGTTAATAATAAACAAGGAAGTATAATTTGAAGGACAAAGAAACGTTGCACAATAACACCTTTGAAAGACTTTAGGGATGTACCTGCAGATCGACTCAAGTAAGCAGAACTGTACTCACCCTTAAAGACAAAGTTGTAGGCCTCATCTGACCCCATATTCTGTCCATTCAATGTTGCCACCCCAGCTTACTGCCGCGACTCCAGCACTCCCAAACTGATTGCAGAATGTAAGATGACACTGACTCACACCACAACCACCCTGCCCCTCAGTTCCTCAGGCTTTGGGAAAGGAAATGGCAGCAAAAATGTTTTGACACATGAATGCCAGTCGCCAGCTTTCTGCCCTTAACTACCCTTCCCTATCTGAGTTGATAGAAAGCTGGCTTGTTTGAACAAGACATGCTGAGTGTATCCAGGTTGCTCTGCTGTAGCAAGGCGGGGCTTGTGTCAGGGAGTGCTGGGGCAGCAGTGGAGGTGTGTCTTAAGTAATGGAGTCAGTGCAGGGCAGGTTGAACAGGTGGGGCGACTACCAGGTACAGGTGAGAGGGACTGCCAGGTGCCTCCTGCTGGACCAATCAGATTATTGCATGGAGTAAGCACTTGCTTCATCACTACATGACCAAAACCACCCTGAGTTTACACAATATTTCTATAATATTGCACAACTGTGTGTCAGTCTTTAGCTACAACAGTATCTGGCTAATTTTACTGGAATATGGATATACGTCTTCCTCTGCCAATAAGAACCAATTCTTTTTCTTCTTAATTGTCATGTTCCTTTATAAATACAGATCTGTTGTTCCCATGTAATCCTTTGTGGTCACAAAGAATAGGTCCAGTACATTTAGTGTATGTGGTCATTTTAGTAACATCTCTTCAAAATGTGTTGGCAAGAGATGCTTTCATTTTTTTCTACTTTCCATTATTTTGAGACTATTATGTATTTAGTCAGACATCTTTAACTTTCTCCAATTTCTCTTTGCCACAGAGGTCAAGGTCACTAATAATGTTGCGAGTAGTTGTAGATTTTGTATTCTGGGCCATTAATGCACCCAACAACATATTAATGCACCTTTTTTTTCATCCATCATGGGCCTCAGACTGTTTCCGTGTTAAAATAAAACTCTTTTCACTATGTTTCTAGCAGTAAGTCATCAGTCTGTCTTATATTATTGAGCATGTCTCTAAACACAGACATGCTGTGTGCAACAAAGACACTAAAAAGGGAAATCTTGTTTTAATCAATCTGATTTAAATATCCAACTGATTTAAAGTGAAGTGAAAAAAGCCTCAGGCTGTGATTAAACTGCACTTCGAATGAAGGATTTTCAGTTTTCCAATTATTACGCTACTGAAATGATTTTATCGGTATTCATTTCAGGTTTTAAAGCGAATGAGCAAGCAAAGAGAAAGTCTGATATGATTAAACAAGTATATCCTGTAATTATCTACAGGAAAATGTCAGAGAGGTAAGGATGCAAATTGTAATGTTGTCACATCTTCAAGTAACAGATATGCTGTGCGTATGATGAAAATAAGAATTACAAATAAGAACAAAATAACAACATGAGGGATATCTGGTTCTTTAATTTGCATATAGCTGAAAAAGCAATTAATAATTACTAAGCTTTGTTAGAGGGTAATAATACAAACTATAATATAAATTCTTTCAAGCTTTCTAGTGTGGCATTAAAGATACAGATACAGTTATATGTGAATCAGAGAATACTGATACTATGGGTATTTTCAAAACCTAATCCTGGTAAACATTATATTTTAGCTTTGAACTAATCTGTCTGTCACGTCCATCTCTGAGCTGACTCATGTCACACCAAGCACTCAGTTCAAAACAAAAACAAAATAAGAACGTGTGAATATATTTCCAAAAAATTGTTTATTTAACAGCTTTGAAACAAAAACGTAGCAAGTAATCATAATGCATTTTATCAGGCAGAAATTCTCATGAAGGTTACCACAAACCTTTGTATTTTATGCATTTTAGTCCTCTGATGGGATTCAAAATGTTAAATTTTCTGCTTAACTGTTCTCGGCATGCCTGAACTAAAACTGCAAATGAATGAATCAACCGTGGGACCAGTTGATAATGGATTCATTTCAGCAGTAGAATCAGACTTTCCACTGACAGATTATATGGATTTACAGACCATTAGATGAACAGAGTCACAAGGGAGGGCAAACACTTAAAAACCCATAGAAATCATTAGTTTCAATACTATCATTATAAATACACCGACTCTCCCTTCCTACGCACACAATCACTCACTCACTCATAGATATATGCATGTACACAGAATGTTACAGTAGTCCATCAATGACCTGGATCATATGGTGCTTTTTCCCCCAGGCAGACAGGAGCAGGCACAGCTTCAGTCACGTCTCCACTATGATGCCGCCACTTGGGTTAATGGTTCCTCCAGGTACTGCACCAGAGCTTCTGCCTATGAACACAACATACACGGCGCAGTGCTATCAAAGGCTGTATTCAGAGTGAACAGTAATGCTGGATTAGTTTAAGCCTTTGTGTGTCACTGTGGCATACAAGCCATACTATCAGGTTTACTTCAAAATCAGGTTTTTTGACGAGTCAGGAACTATTCTGATTATCAGTTCATCATTTTAAGTCACATTTCAAGCAAAAATGCAATTATATGATTGTTACGATTGTGAGTATTTGCTGCTTTTCCTTGTCTTTTGGGTTTTGGTTGGACAAAAGAAGGCATTTGATGACACCATCTTAGTCTAAATAACGATAGCGATGGACAATCTTCACAGTTTTATGATGATTTAAAAACCAAATGACGATTAATTAATTAACTGAGAAAATAAAAGGCAGATTTAATGAACTGATGATGTGTTCAGAGTACAGTAAACTAGTACACGTTTCTACCATATTGTTAAATACAGTTGTGTCCTCTTCAAGTCATTTTTAAAGAACATTTAAGGCTTAGCTATTTGGGACTGAGTCAGTATACCAACATGCCAGCTGAAGCTTCTCAACTGCACACATTTTGAAAAGTTAACTGAAATCTACCACATCAAGAAGCTACAGGTGTGAAATGGGTTATTTTTTCAGTTCATCATTCAATCTTCAGTTAAAATATTCTGTCTGATAAGTATTTAAAAGAAGAAAAAAAGCCTGAATGCTGGAGGTCCCCACACTTTACTAAAACAACTAAATTTTGTGTTTACCTTCTGACAAGCTCATTAAGAATTAGTCTGTAAATTATTCAACACATTCTTTTCAAGGTTGAGATTTCTGAAGGTTTGAGGTTTGAAATTGTCTTTTTGTTAGGCCATGAGCAAATGGGATCAGAATCCATGTTGGGCAAACATTACCAACCACGCTTCTCTATTAAATGACGGGAAAAGAGATTGCTTACATTGATCATATGTTGGAGGTTTGCAGCTCACAAACTTCAATATGCACCTGTCTTTGTTACTTTGTTCACTTGTGGCTGCATCTTATTTCCCATTCCTCTCATATTATACAGCATTTAAAAACTGATGTGCTGTTTCGCAAGCTGCTAGTGGTGACTTTACCGAGATACATTCAGACCTGTTTCTGTACTGAAACGTGACACCTTTTGTCAACAAATGTCCAATTAATTATATTTTATTGAATATCACACGGTGATAGTCAGGGACCTTCAACAAAGATTAAAAAAAATAATCACATTTTTGAGCTGTAACCTCGAATAAACAAAAGACTAAGCAAATTACAGCGAATGTATAAAATACCACGACACTGAAAGCAAGACATTGGTTGTATGGGGAACCAATGAGACTCTCACCTTGGCTTTAAGCATCCCAAAGCCCACTGTCTCTTTGGCGTACATACACAGCAGTAGGTTGGCTACACGAGTAATGGCCACTCTTCCCTCCTGAGAGAGAAAACAAGAGATAGAGAGAGAGAGAGACAGAGAGACAGAGAGAGAGAATGACAAAGTGCCCCAGTGTCAGGTGTTTGAATTCACCTATAAATACTCATCAAATATATGAAAACAACAGCAATAGTTTCTTACCATACAGTCCATGAGTATGAATTTGAGTTTGTCCTCGTTGAAGGCTTGGTGGCCGTTCTTGTCGTAGGCTGCCCAGATGTTGCTGGCGATGGCGGCCGTCACTCGTGCGTCAGTGTCCCCATATCCAGAGTAAGCCAGAAGTGAACCTTCATTGTTCAGTAAACTGGTGAAAGAGAGTTCAAAGTTTGGATGTTTCAGTATCCAGCAGATGAAAGGGGGATATTTTGTCAGTATATGGATTTTGTATCTTTATCAAGCTACCTAACACTGCTGGTAATATCTACAGCTGGGGCGAGGGTGTAGCAGAAGTGTGGGCTACCTGAACACAAGCTTACCAATACAATCATTGTATATCACACTGCTTGAAGCACGTACAAATATAGACAATGTTGTGAATTATGTCGCTTGTTTGCTTCAAGTTAAAATGATCATGTGGTGGTCACAGTTTACCCAATGTGCCAGACCATGTTGAATTCCAATTTGAGTTGACATTAAGGCAGTAATTAGAAATAAAACGCTTCTGTAAAAATACAGGAAAGGTTTCACCTAATTAGTGAATTTAGATGAATCATCAGAAAAAATAATCAGTGACTTTTTAAACTGTTACACTAATTTGTCAAGCCAAAATGTCTCAAATGTGAGTGTGTGATAGATTTTTTCCCCTCTCACATGTGATATTCAACTGAATATCTTTGGGATTTGGACTGTTGGTTGGATAAATCAAGCAAACTGAAGACCTCAACCTGGTTTCGGTGAAGTCATAACGAGCATTTGTCACTATATTCAGACATTTTGTCCACAAAACGATGGCAAAAATTGGCAGATTGTTAGATAATAAAAACAAGTAACCACTAATAAATGAGTTAAAGTCCTCCATTTCAGGTTTTTAAACACTTAATTACTATTTGCAAACATGTAAGGTTTACACAGTGTTAATAAAATACCATATTACCTATTGTATTGTAATTACTGTAAAATATACATTGGTTAATGTTACTAACATTAGCATTGCCACTTCTACCGCAGCATTCAGGAGAGGGGTCTGTTCCTCACGATATTTACCCCCCTTTACATTTACATGATTGTCAAACAGACCACCACTGTAAACGTTACAACAACAAACTATAAAACGGTATTTAACATTAACTCGTAGTGAAAAGCATATCGGTAGCATGCTGCTATCTAGTTAGCTGTACTCACAGTGTGCTTTGGACTCCGTTTGTGTTCGCCTGGCTGAGAACCTGCGTTAACGCCTTTGGTCGTAACATGGCTACTTAATCACTAACTTGTGATGGTATTTATTTAAAAATGTACTTATATGAGTAAACAACCACCTTTAAACTGTCAAAAAACTACTCAACAAACAAATGTCAGCTGATGTTTTCTGGCTCTTCCGGTTGTTTTCTCAATGCATTGTGGGAATTGTAGTCATCGAATTGATTTTTTTAAAAGTCCACATTGATGAAAGGATAACGTTTTAATATACTGATTTAATATAGTTATGTTTAGTTGAATGTGAAAATGTGAAGTATTTCCGTTTTAGTGAGACTTGTTTTTGTTGACTAATATTTGACATGTAAATATATAATCTATACTGTTGTAGTTAACGATTTTATGTTAAAAAAAAAAGAATACAATTGTTTTAATATTTCATTTTCATATTATCATAAATGATCCAACCTTTCAGAATACATTAAAGACTGAAAGACAAAATAAAATATACATTAAAAACAAGCAATAAGAACAAATAGGTAATTTTACTTTTAATACTAAAAGAATTGTGTACTTAAGATTTAATAAAGGCACATTACAGACTTTTACAGTTCCTGGAATAATATTTGTGGTATTGCTACATTTACTTTATTAACATAACTGTACAGATGACTGCCAGTGACAAAGACATTATTTAAATTTTGATTTAATAATTAGGAAGAGTAACATACTTGAAAGACCTTTCAGATATCACTGGAAGAAGTGAACAATGTGTCATAAGTTATCAGCAAAAACACACTGCAAGGACAAATGGAAATTTGAATCAAAGATTAAATTCAGCATAATACAACTATCAAACTGCATTGCCAAAATAAATTATCCACACACATTTACAATAGACAAGACAAACATTGCAAATAATTTATTGGTTTAAAAAAAAAAATTCATCTCTCTATAGGTAAAACAATAGATTTCCTAGATAACTTGCAGAACCCAATATTATATTCAGGCAACACACTGCTTGTATGGAAATTCACAACAGTGTTAATGTGAAAGAGTTTGATTTAACTTTAAAAACAATTCCCAAATAGCTTTTCACAATTTCTATTGAATAATCAGTAACCACAATTAATCACTTCATTTTATAGTTTAGAACAAAAATTCCAAATGGCTCCTCGTTTATTTAGTGTTAGTCGACAGAAAATCAACTTGATCAAAACCTTTTGCTAAGAAAGTTATTTCTAATGACATGGTCTAAATGGGTGGGTGATATGAATGAAATCCTTTATTCGGTATGTTTTTTTTAAAAGGTGAACAATAGTTCTAATTCTGCAAATGAAAATCCTGACAAATGTATTCAAGGGAGATCCTGTAAATCCAATATCTTAGGCAATACAACCAGAGGTATTAAAAAGAGGGCTATCTACCTCAACATAGCAAACTTTCTACCAGTTGAAAAGTCTCTATTGTCTCAATATAATAGTCTCTTGTATATAAAGTCACATTGTCCAACCCCTTATCCACACACACGTTATAGTCTTGGTCCTACAACCAAAAAACCTTCACCATCTCCTCCTCCTAAACCATTTAGGCAGCAGTGCCATACCAACAAGAATCAGTACAATTCAGAGAAACCTTGTGAGAGGAAATAGAAAGAGTCAAGAACCTGTCAGGGTAAAAAACTTAAGTGAAGAGATAACTTAAATAAATACCAGTCAACCAGGCAAGAGGATGAAGAAGAAAAAGAAAGTAATAACAAGCTGGTTCTCATGACCCAGAGTGCAGAAGTCCATCATCCAACCTACTGCAACAACATCCAGATTCACAACTTTTTTTTTTTTTTTTTAAACCACCTAAATACAGTCTGTTCAAATTAAATAATGTGAAAATAAGTAACTATTAAAAGTTAATTCCTTGGTAACATAATGTAGACATCCAGTGAATGAGCACTTGTCATGTCAGAAATCATCACCGGCTGCGCTGACAGGAGTAACTCGGTGGTCGCGACAGTGATAGTCGTGGCGTCGTTTCACAGTAGCAGTATTGCCACGGCATTTAGTACAGGACCAATTCTGTTGGAAACCAGCAACATCCTTCCACAACGTCTCCCACCACGATCTCCCAACCTCCTTCCTATGATTTACAGATCAGCTGAAGAGATAACAGGTGATTGGAATACCACTGAGTTTATCTGGGTGTCATGTCAGACTTGCATTTGATGAATGTGTTATTAATTAAAAAAAAAAAAAAATCTCCAATGCCAGTCACCACCAGTTTTCCTACCCTCACCCCCAGAATGAACGGAGTGAGTTAGGCCAGCAGTCTTTCAATGGCGGCGTTGACGTCCCCTCCCGTGGCGATGAGCGCCTGCAGGTTGGCTTCGCGGTTGATAAAGCCCATGGCACTGAGCTGGTCGAGCTGCTGCTGGAAACGAACCTCCGGGGTCTGAAGCTGTGAGGGAAGAGATGACGCATGAGGTCAGAAACTGCTTATTTAAAGGCTGACCCTCTTTTTTTCAGGCTTTTTTTTTTTTTATTTAGTGGCTCAAGAGATTCCACTGAATGTTTCTTTATACCAGCTGATTCTGACCCAACGTTTTAACACAATTGCTTTTTTAAATGTAAATCAAATTGACATCATGCTCTCTTGGTATTAACTTTACTTCATGCATCATTTATGCATTAAAATATGGACTGAACTCGTCCTCTCACACAATGTCATATTTAAAGTTTTAGGACTTTTCACCTTCAAAAAAGAAGAGCCAGAAGAGCCATTCAACTACCACTGACTGAAATTTATGGCGCTTTTATCACGTTGACACTTCATCTGCTTTCAGTGACTCCACTTCAGCTTGCATCACAACTCCTTTTAGTGCATACACTTTGAACCCTTTTCTCTTTTTAATAAAAAAATCTAACATAAATAATTCTGTTCTTACAGAATTATTTAACTAACAGAATTATTATGTAACTCCTACAAATCCCAGTGTTTTCAGTCCTTACATTTCAACGAAAATGTTCTTTCTTTCATTGAAATTAATTTATTTCAGCACCTTTTCATTTAAGCTGATGCTTCATCTTAACTTCACACTTAAAACCGAAAAGGTTTCAGCACTAAATTAAGTTGAATTGTCAATTGGACTTCTTTCAGTAACTGTATTTTGACTGCCATTACAACTTTTCCTGTATTTTAGCTTTTTCATTCTCAGCAGCGAGCAAACGTTTTCAGAAGAAAATGTATCTTCTTCCAGTTTAATGATTATCAGAGTGTTAAAAGCCACATTAATATTTAATGCCAACCAGATTTAAGGATTAAGGATAGCATTATCTAGTGGTCTCAGTGACAAACACTAACAAGCCTAACAAGAAATTAGGAGTTTATCGAGACAAAATAAGAATCAAAAGCGATGGAACTTCAACATATGTTTTAAAAGTTAATGAGTAAGACTAGCTGTTCTGATTTTGGGAAAAACAGGACAAATTCAAGCAATTAGATGGAACATACTGATGGCCCTCCGCCTGCAAACATCTGTAACATCTGCTGCATGAGCTGCTGCTGAGAGGGACTGGTGGCCGAGAACGGGCTGGGTCCTGTTGCCATGGCTGGTTGGGGAGGGTTTGATGGAGGGATGCTGCCCCCTGTGGCTGGAGGAACTGTGAGACCTAAAGGGGATCTAGAAAGGGGAAAATAATGATCATGTTAAAAATCCAAACAACTGTGGTCATTTTAGCTAAATATACTGTAGTGACTCTAAATGACCAATACAAATATTTACCCAATATTAGACAGAATCCATACAGTGTAAATGTTACTATTTGGCTTAATGTTTATTTACATAAATTAATCTATGGCTACACCAAATGAAGTTTATCCATTTTAGAGCAAATAGCTGGTACCTGGACATGAATCCCGGGGCTTCTGTCTGTAAGGTCTGCAGGCCCTGTTGGATCTGTATGAGGGCCTGCATGGCTCTGGGGTTTGTCAACATGGACATTGTTTCCGGATTTTGCATCTGCAAAGACAAACATGAAAGAAGTCAACTCTGAACCCAACAGAGTCCCCAAGGTCCTGAAAGGTCTCTTCATCTTTTGCACACAAGATACCAATGTAGGTGTCTGCATAAATTCTCTGAGGGTCATTAAAAAACCCAGAGGATGCTCTCGCGGTTACTAAGCACCCAGTCCTAGTTACGCATCATCTCTTGCATCATTTCTGGATTCCTTGCCAACTCTAGGGTCTCTCAAGGGAACAGAGGAGTCAAATAACGAAAACAAAAAACCGTGAGAGCTGAGGTGGCGTGTGATAGCCATCAGTGTCATCCCTAAATTTGTTTTATTGTGGATTTGCCTTTATATTCCACACAGGAGATTTTCCTGATAGCTCTTGGGATCCTGTTTCTTAGAGAAAATACAAAGTACAACAATAAGTCACCAAATAGCTGCAAACTACCATAAATGTCTTTCGTAATTTGAAGACATCACCATGGGTTCTGAGAAATTATAGAGGGTATTTTTCATCATCGTATTAGATTTTATAGACTACATGATTAAAACACTCAAGATAAGAAAGCTGCAGACAAATAATATTTGTGTGTTTCCTTAGCCATGTACCTTTTTTTCTTGACACTCTTTCTACCTCAACCACTTCTCTTCTTCTCCTCTCAGCTACACTTGAGGATAGCAAGCAGCACACGGTAGCTGAGATGTGCCGACCCGGGGAGCGAATGTGATAAAACTGCTGCTTTTCTGGAGAATTAACATGCGTCAAGACGCAGGCGATGTGTAGTATTTTGACTAGGAAAATCATCATAAGCTGTCGGCTGCCTTGAGAAACAAACTGTTCTCATCCCACAGAATAGGAACACAATAACAAAATAGGCTTCGCCACCCACAGCTTTTAATTGTTTGCCTCTGTCACTGGGGCAATAACTGAACTAATGCGACGTTTAACACAAGGCATTCACTTGATGAGTGGACATTTATCAGCACGAGCTCTGTGAGGGTGACCTGGCGTTTCAGGGCACTAACATGGAAGCTCTGCACTGACCTGTCTCATGAGCTCAGGGTTGTTTAACACGCGGGAGACGTCCGGATTCTGCTGCATGAGCTGCTGCATCTGCGGGTTGCCTGCAAACATCTGCCTCATCAAGTCAGGGTTGGACATCACGTTCTGGACAAGCGGGTTCCCCATAATCTGCGTCAGCATCTGCGGGTTGGACATCAGCTGACTTTGCACCTGCTGCTGCATCTCCATTAAGTTGGATGAACCCATGCCTAGACCTAACAGGCCAGACAGGTCACCAAGTCCACCTGAGGAGGAGGAGGAAGAAGAGGA